TTAGTAACTTATTAAAATTTTAATAAAATTTTATTATAAAATTTATCAACATTTTATATAATACTTTCTTAATTATTTTTTTAACAAAAAACCTTTCTAATAAAGGTAGACACTTTAAGCAAAAGAGGCCTTTCCTACAACGTTTGATGGGGTTAAAAGTGAATCGTGGGCTTAACTATTTAACCAAACTTTGGGCTTCCAGTCTTTCTACTTGTTGAGCCCATTACAAAGCTGGCCCGCCGGAAGGCCCAGCACTAATCTTTCCTCGGAAGCCTTAACTCAATAAATAAAACTAAAAGCCCTTCTCTATGGGTTTTTTTTTGCCGCCAACTTTTCCTTTCCCTTTTTCTTTACTCCGACGACTATTCCGCTCCGTTTATCTCCCAAAACCTGCCGCCGATTTCTTTACTAATCGAATGGCTTCAAACGTCCCCGTCGACATTGTCGAAGACGACGAGGTAAGCTCAATTTCACTGTCTCCCTACATTTATTGTTCTGATTGGGTTCGCTGGCTGAACTTCCGTCTCTTTTGGGTTTCTCCAGGGGTTCGATTGGGAAGAAGCTGTTAGACAAATCGACGAGGCTTGCCAAAGCGCAAAGCCTTCTACTTCTAGTCTAAATTATCCATCTTCCCATTTTGTGCCTCCTTCTGTTGGAGAAAACTCTAATGGGTTTCGCCCTGTGGGCGAGAGAAAGCCTGGTGGTTCTTCAAGGCAATCCACGCTTGATAGGTTTATGGGGAAGGTGGTGGGGCCCATTAGGCCTTCGTCTGAGAATCATCGGAAGTTTCAGGATCGAGACCCAGAATGTGTTGTCGTTGAGGGTGATGAGAGAGTACCCGGCATTGCTATTGACGCTGAGGCAGCAAAAACTTGGATTTACCCAGGTTATTTTTCTTATTTTCCTTGGCTTTTGTTTTTAGAGTTGAGTTAAAGATAGGATATTGGGGCAAATTTTGATTATATTGATCATCAGTGAAGCAATTGGGTTAGCGTACCCTTCTCTAGTTATTGATTCTCTTCTCTAGATGCTGAAATTAGTTCTTTTGTTCTTTTCAATTTTTTGTCCAATATTCTGTTGGAGAGTGCTGGTTATTCTGTGCTCAAAATAAGTTCTGATTCTCTTGCTTCATTTATGGTGAAGCAACCTTTTATTTTGTTACATTACAGTTACAAAATAAACCCAAAAATCATTATTTCAGTAGTTTTCAAATGGTTAGTTTTTTATTCTTTTTCATTAAAATTAGGAAGAACCAACTGAAGTATGTTTTGTTACATGGAGATGGTCGAATTGACTTTCTTGCATAATCACAGTGTTTGACCACGTTCATATTGTAATTCTTTGCTGTGGGTTAGGTGGGGCAACATGCTATCTTCTTCCATTAGTAAGACATGTTGCGAAGGGATCTTGTAGATCATAATTCCATAGGTTGTCTGGAAAAGAGAAAGCATCTCCTTTGCTTTCATCCTTTATATTTGGAGAGGTTCATTTTTTTTTCTCCTTTGCATCCACTTATGTCTCTTTAGTTTACTCCAAGTGGTTTCTCAAAATACATTTTTAACTTGAGGATGATCTTGTAAACGGAAGTTTATGACATAAGTGAATATTATGAATGAAATTTTCATGTTAACTCTTGCAACATATTCTCCTCTTCTAACTGCAGTAAATATCCCTCTTCGAGATTATCAATTTGCCATAACCAAGACGGCACTGTTTTCAAATACATTGGTGGCATTGCCTACAGGCCTTGGCAAAACGCTTATTGCTGCTGTCATAATGTATAACTACTTCAGATGGTTTCCAGATGGTAAAATAAGTTATCACAATCATTGCTTTAATGCAGTTCTCCCACAATTCAATAAGAAAAAAATACAATTTGTCACAGTCCTTGCATGACAAACCCTCATATTTCCCTTCAGATTTCTTATATTAAGTTCCAACTATTTATATTGTAAATTATAGAAGCTATTTATGGTCTTTCCATGACAGGGAAGATAGTCTTTGCTGCTCCTTCTCGGCCACTTGTCATGCAACAAATAGAAGCATGCCATAATATTGTTGGAATTCCACAAGTAAGGACCCACATTTATTTAGCACTTCAATAAGCTGCCAAACTTTTCATTTTTGATTCGGAAGCTTACTTGACAAAATTCTTGACATATTTTTGAGAAGATTTAGATCAAACTGATTGCAGGAATGGACCATTGATATGACAGGTCAAATAAGCCCTACAAGAAGAGCATGCTTTTGGAAGACCAAACGGGTTTTCTTTGTTACTCCACAAGTTCTGGAGAAAGATATTCAATCTGGTGATTCTCTAATTACTTAATACTTTATGGGTGTTAACAATCACCTTCAAGTTCCTGTTATAAAATCAAGCGTTCTGTAAGTGAAATACTTGCAACAACCTTATGCATATTGCTGGATTTTTCTCATGAAGAAGTAACTTGTTACAGGCACGTGTTTGGTAAAATACCTAGTCTGCTTGGTAATTGATGAGGCTCATCGAGCATTGGGAAACTATTCTTATTGTGTGGCAGTTCGTGAGGTTTATTGTCTCATTTCTTTTTTAATATCTAAAATGCATACTGTGTTGTGAGCTCCAGGAAGTCTCAAGGATACTAGCTAACATTCTATATTTGTAGTTGATGGCTGTTCCAGTGCAACTGAGAATATTAGCTTTAACTGCCACTCCAGGATGTAAGATGCTATTCTCTTCCTGGCTTGTACAAGTTACAATGATCTTAAGTTCTTACATTAGCTACCTTTTAACCAGCGAAGCAGCAGTCAATCCAGAAAATAATAGATAACTTGCAGATATCAACACTTGAATACCGGGATGAGAGTGACCATGATGTCATCCCATATGTTCACAACCGAAAAATAGAATTGATTGAGGTATCTACTGATGTATGCCATTTTAATTCTTTTATCTTTAGGTTTTTCCTATGGATTTAACATCTTCCTGGAAATTTTACTAGGTTGCACTTGGGAAAGATGCAGTTGAGATAAATAAAAAACTGTTGGATATAATTCGTCCATTTGTAGCCAGGCTATCTGCAATGGGAGTTCTTCAGAACAGAGACTATCAGACTGTATGGATCAATATACCATGGTTCATTTGTTTTCTTTTAGTATATTCAATTATGGTTGTTTATTGCCTTTTTATCTTTTTAGTTTAATCAGGCAGTTTGTTTGCATTATTATGGATGACTTGTGGAGATATTATGGTTTCTTTCTTTCAGGTTTTTAAATTTCACATTAACTTGAAGACATTCAAAGAAATGTCTTTCATCTTTCTGTATTTTGGTGAAGTTATCCTTCCTCATACAGCATGCGTCTTTTCTTCCCACTTTCACCTGTTGCATTTTTCCAATGGTAGCTATGTCATTTTCCAAAGTGGACATATGCGGGGAAATTTACCATATTGGTTATACATGCATCATCTTAAGAACTTTATGAATACCAGCTTCCATAATGGCAATTTTTCTGCAGTTCATTTAGCCTCTAAGTTGCAGTTGGGATTTTTTTTTTCTCCTAAATTTTTCTTAGTCTTCAAATGTTAAGTTGACCTTTTATTAAGTTTTCACCTAATGATGAATTGTAAAAGGTCACTCTCTATAGTGTCATCATAGGCAACCTCTTGGAACTCTAGCAAAAACAGTGAAATACAAATTTTACTGAACATCTGTGGTTCTTGCCTTATTGTGGCTGATAATCCATTACTATTTTCTTATTCAAATTAAATAATCTATAAGCCATAATCAAGTATGTGAAAAATGCACAAAAAGCAAAGATGAAAAGAGTTCCAACCCTTTTATTTATTTTATTTATTTTTTATAAAATTTATTTTACTATGCTGTGCATATTCTAAATTCTCCCAATTTACTCCATACTATTGCTTGCCCAATTTGATTGATGCATTTGAATTTCCTAGAAGTTTCAATGCTGCCTGAGTTTTCTATCTTTTAATATTTAAATTTGAACCTTTCTTAGCTGTTGATGAAATCTTAAATATATTTATAGATTTGCAGTTCAATCTCTTACTAGTTTGCTTAAAGTTGTTGCCCATTATTCTTACTTCCAATCCATGCTGGCATTTGACAGTTAACCCCAGTTGACTTGCTTAATTCAAGGGATAGATTTCGTCAAGCACCTCCATCAGAGCTTCCACATGTTAAGCATGGGGAAGTTGAAGCATGCTTTGGAGTTCTTATTACACTTTACCACATTCGTAAGCTACTTTCAAGCCATGGAATAAGGCCAGCATATGAGATGCTGGAAGAGAAGTTGCAAAATGGGTATGCTCTTGATCATCCACCAACTTTGGCTTTTTAATAGCATTTTATATTAATTTTAAGAAGCCTCTGCACTGAAATATGAGCTAAAAGAACAATGTGCACAAAATGAATTTGTCATCATATCTGTGATTGAAGCTTCACAATTTGCTGTCTGAGTGTTGGTATTATTGCTGACTGGATAAGAATACCAAAAATAAAATGAAGCTTTTTGCTGAGGATGGTAAACTTTTAAAATATTTTATTTAAATTGGACATTCATAAGTTCCATTGCCATGGCAGACTTTAGGCTGTCAAGACTAGATAGCTGACATAACACATCATCCAACCAAGGTTGCTATATACATTATGTATGTGTGCTACACTTCTGGTTATATTTGCATATACATAGGCAGGGACATACATAAATACACTTGTATTGAATTATATAACTATCTGCAGTATAATTTGCTTTCACATCTACTGTATTTAATGTTGGTGAAAGGATAACAAGTCCTTTTAGTTTTTACTACTCTATTATGAGATATTTGAACTTGAATTTTTGCAGGGCATTTCTGAGAATGATGAGTAAAAATGAAGAACTTATGATTGCAAAGCTCTTAATGCAACAGAATTTATCTCATGGTGCACCAAGTCCCAAGTTGTCAAAAATGTTAGAAGTGTTGAGTGATCATTTCAGTATGTGGCCTGGCATTTTAATTCTAAACCATTAAGCGGTGGTTTTCATTTGCATTTCCTTGCTACTATTATAACACTAGCATATTAGTAAATGATGTTTGGTACTTGAATTGTGAATAATTCCAACTGAAAAGTGGAAACATCTTGTGCATAATTTCTGCTACTGCTATGGGTGGAGTTTAGATCTGTAAATGAAATATTTTGAAAGATATTTTAAATTTGTATTTGTTAAAATTTAGATAGTCAAATATTGAGTACGCTTATGATATATTATTGCTTGTTCACATAAATCTTTGAAGTTCTATTATTTCTACTAAACTGTGGTGTGATTACTGAAAGAGACCTTGAAATTCTGAGATCTTTAGGTTGAATTTTAGATGGCATCTGAAAGCTGGGTTAAATAAATAAATAAGGAAAAAAAAAGAAAAGAAAAAGAATCCCACTGGTCTTATAGCTTGTTAAAATACTTATGGTACTCTTGAGGGCATGTTTGAATTGCAGCAGTTCTGCCTCTCACTTGCTTAGTCAACGCATGTGGAAGCATGAGGGAACTTTGCATGTTGAAGCTTATGTGAACTCTTTTTCTATATTTTTCTTCTAGTCACTACATATAGCTTCAGTCACTTGAATTACTGTAGTTAGAAATTTGGAACTTAGAAAATGCTAAACAGCTATGCAGTCATCCTGGATTATACATAATCTTCTCCATTATCTAGTCTGATGAATTTCTTTTACCATGTGATGGCCCCTATTCTAGTTCTGGACCTAATTACAACATGCTTGATGCATGAAATTTTTTCTTTCTTTCAGCAGAATATCATCTTTACAATCAGAGTGCATTTATTGCTCTTGTTTGTATGGTTGAAGTTTTTAGTTTTATTCTAGGATGCTAACTGTAATAACTCAAAACATATGTTACAGAGACCAAGGGTTCACAAAATTCTAGGGTCATTATCTTCTCAAATTTTAGAGGAAGTGTCAGGTGAAAAAGGATTTTTCTATGTTCCTCTTTTTTTTGTGACACTTTCTTTTTATAGTATCTTAGTATCAGCTAGATCATGTCCACTTAATCTGATATATTTTTCCTTGTCTAATGATAAACTTATATTCAGGGACATAATGCATGCATTAGCAACTGTTGGAGATTTAGTTAAAGCAACTGAATTTATTGGACAAAGCTCAGGTTTGCCATTCTGTTCTTGTTTTTCCTTTAGGTCTTGAGTAAATTGCCTCCATTAAGCAAGAGTTTGTTCTTTGTTAGGCTGTGTACATTTTGATTCAGTAGTCAATTATGAACTTTACGTCTGACTGTAGTTTCTTTCAGGAAAAGCATTGAAAGGCCAATCACAGAAGGTTCAACAGGCTGTTCTGGAGGTAATTATATCAATTTTAAGTTATTTTTTCATCTCCTGACATTGACTTAGTCTGTTTGATGGCAGAAATTTCGAGCTGGTGGTTACAATGTTATTGTTGCCACATCTATTGGTGAAGAAGGCCTTGATATCATGGAAGTTGATCTTGTAATATGTTTTGATGCTAATGTTTCACCTTTGAGAATGATTCAGCGGATGGGGAGAACTGGAAGGAAGCATGATGGACGAGTTGATATCCTTTTCTTTTTTCTTTTTTCTTTTTTTTTTTTAACTATTGATGGATATATAAAAGCACACATTCAATATGATTAGATTGCCCATGATGCAACAAAAATCTTTCATTTTCCCCTTTTTGGCTACTTTGGGCCCTAAAGCTACTTCTTTTTGTTCTTCATTTTAAAATAAAATCTTAGGCTTATTGCAGTTCCTTGACAAGTTTACTAGTTCTAGCTTGTGAAGGGTCAGAGATAAAGGGTTATATGCGGAAGCAAGCAAATAACCGGTCTATTAAAAAACACATGCAAAATGGGGGATTGAAAAGCTTCAATTTCCATTCTAGTCCAAGGATGGTAAGATATCTTACGTTTATCTGGTTATGATTTTGTGTTGCTCCAAATTTTACAATCTGACCTGTTACTGTTACTTCATCACATTTTGTTGTAGATTCCCCATATTTTCAAGCCAGAAGTCCAATTTGTTGAACTCTCAATTGAACAATTCATTCCTCGTGGGAAAAAACTAAAAGATGATCACACTGTTCAATCACCTCCTGTCAATGAAAAACTAACCCCTGCTGAAACTGATTTAATTGCCAAGTATTTCCACCCTGCAATTGAGAATGCTTGGAGACCATCTCTTATTGCATTTCCCAACTTTCAGGCCTTTCCCTCCAAAGTACATAGGGTAATGCATTCTTGTAGAACAGGAATGCTGATTGACTCAATGCAAGCTTTGCAAGGATTAACCCTTATGGGAGGCAGCAGGACTTCTTTTATTAAGGTTTGGTCTCAAACTTTTTCCTTGGATACTTCTTTGTTATACTACACTATGGCTTGCTTTATGTGTTTAACTAATTGGTTCAGGATGAAGTCTTTTCTGTCGATTGCTTGGAATTTGATGGACCTGACAATGCTACAAAAGGTAGTATCATCTTTGCAGCTGAATAGACTTTTTTGATAAATTTCTTTAATTCTTTTCTAGAATGCTGAAATGGATAGTTTAAATAAGTCTTGTTACATAACAATTTAAAATTTGAAGGCCATAATGGCCAATCCAGGCTCTCCAGCTGACGTGGAATATGATACTGGAATTACTGGACAATAAAATGCATTTTCTGCTGCAGCACTTGATGTGTCATTTTCTATGATTGACATAAGTTTCTATGATTATTTTATTCTCAAGTCCCTTGTAAGTTAGAAAGGCAGCAACTTGAGTTTTTGTGTCATTAAACCTGTTGGAATACACAACATGCTGTTGAAACCTTTAAACATAACAGAGGTATTAATGCCTGTATCTTGCTTGTTCATATTTGATTTTGCTGTTTACAACATTCCATTGTTACTGAACTTTGTTAAGAACCTGCTTCATGACGGATTGATGCATTATTATACTTCCTATTTTCAAATCCAGATATATTTGGCACACCATTGTTGTTTTATTAACTTAACTGGTGCTCAGTAGATATCATTTATTTTATTAACCTGTATCTTACATCAATGTGCTGTACCAGATTCACCATTGTTGGATGGTTCACCAGCTGCCAAGTCACAAAGGAAGGTAACAGATTTGGAAGTATCACCCATAAAGAGCTTAAGAACAATGTGTTATTCTCATTGTGAACCTCAAGCACATTCGTGTCTCTTTAGTTCAGATTTCATATCGGTTGATTCTCTTGGAAAGGTCATGATTTTATCTGTTCCTTCCATTCATTTCAAGCATACAAGTTCTAGCAATAAAGGGTTGCAAAATTCTGTGAAGCTAGATTCTAGCCATGTGAAAACTCCAGATGGACATTACCGTGAGCTAACCACGCAAGCTAAAACAATTGCAAACCTAACAACTTTTCAGACAAGATGCTCAAAAGATGATACTCTGCCAAGTTCTAGGTTAGATATGTCTGATTCTCATAAAGATGAGATGCCAGAGCAGGATGAGAAAACTCCTGAGTGTCCAATGAATAAAGGCCTGTTGAATGGAGATAGCAATTATGAGATACCTGATATTGAAGAAACCAAGGTATCTTCACCATTGGCTGAAAAAGATATTAATGATTTCAGAGATGCTGAACTTAGTCCACGGTTAACTAATTTGATCAAAAGTGGTGTTGTTCCTGAGTCTCCTGTTACTGAATGTCGTAAGTATTTGTCTTTAATAGTGATTGGATTTCTTGTGTTCAAAGATGCTTGAGTAACTTATTTGTGCTGGATAACAAATGGGTTTTGTAGGGCTGTTGAATAACAGACAAAATGAATGTCAAGTTTCGGACATTAGTTCACTGGTCAATTTGCAAACTGAACTGCTTTTAGGTCCAGTTAGAAATGAAGGGGTCATTATGGAGAACTCTGCCAGCAAAAGTAATATCTTCCTGTCTTCTATCAGTGATGAAATTAGAACTCCTTTACGTAAGATGAATGGAGTTTCTGGCACAAGACTTGCCTCTAGCTTGCTTGCAGAGGAGGCCCAAACACCTTTGCAACACCTAACTGATGGTAGTGGCAGCAAAAGTTGGCACTTAAGTTCTGGAGAGAAGTCAGTAAATGCAAAGCAGGCAAAGAAGTTTAAAAGATTGCGAAAAGTTGGGAATTCCGAGGGAAATAGGAATTCAAAGAGCATGAAAGTGGATTCTTTTCTTCCTATAGCAAACCTTGCCAGATCTTTTCCTGGTTCGAGTCCCATACAAATGAAGCATGGCAGATGTAATTTAGTTCATACATCAGGTTATTTATTCTTCCCAGTACAGGGATTTTTTACTTCAGTTCTGCTTCCCATACAGAAATGGTGTTCCATAATTCCATTGTTTAGCTTGGTTAAGAGACCTCTTATGATAGAGCCTTATTGTCTTCCAGCAGCATGTTTAGGAAGGAAAGTCAAGTAACAACTATTAATAACACTTGCTACTTGTTGTTGTCTTTAGGTAAAAAGAAGCTGGAAGATGAAGTCAGGACCTTCATTGATGAAGAAGCTGAGTAAGTGCACTGCTCAAATTCTTTATTTTAATTGCGAGCCCTCGTCTAAACGTATCATTGTATGGTGACAATAAGATTCATTGGCCACTTTCAGGGTGTCTTCAGACACTGAAATATCTGGTGATGAAGAAGATGGGAACAATGACTCATATGATGATAGTTTCATAGATGACAGGATAAATCTTACAGGTGCCTGTACACAAACTGAATCTGGTGGGGTTGACATGATGGCAGTTTACAGGTGCCCTGTCTATCTGTCTCCTACCTCTCTCTCCCTCCCCCTTATGGAATGTGAAAATCTAGTGCTTCAGGTTGTTAGGAATGATATATGTTCCATGTGAATAGAATGCATAACAAAATCAAACTTTACTGAAACTAGGCAGCATCCTGCCAGCTTTGAGTTTGAATGGTGCTTTTGTGCTGTCAAAACTCATTGGCAAAATACTGAAGTCCATATGTCCAATAATAGATTCTAGCTGAGCATTTGGTTTCAGCTTATAATTCATTATTTATGTTAATTATTTTTCCTTGTGTGACAAATCTCAATATTCTCACTTGTGTATTAAATGTAAGCCTTAATTTTGAATTCTAAATGGCTTAACCTAAATAGTTATTCAATTCATATAACAATGTGTGCAATAAGAATCTTCAGTTATTTCTTTGTGAGTGAATTATGAATCTTCTCACAAAATTTTGTTCCATCTTGAAGTGAAATTTCTTGTTATAAAGAATCTTCCTCTTTTCCCTCTCTCTGATTCAACTTTTGGCTTTCTAGCAGGCTGTAACTTTAGAAAACTAATTCATCTTCTATTGCAGGCGTTCATTGCTTAGCCAATCACCATTGGAGAGGCAGCAAAATTTTTCTGTTTTTAGTCCTGATTCTGTAGATACAATTAGCAGAGGAAATGGAGATGGAAACTACTCTAGCAAGACATTGGATTCTCTCAAGACACCTCAAACTGATCCCATAGATGAATCTGCCAAGAGGAATTCAGATCCATCTCAGAAAAATCAAGAGAAGAACTTCTCAGAACCCTTCCCTCTCAGAAGTAATGATATTTCAATAGAAAATGAGAGGGAGGTGGCAAGTCGGAAAAGAAGGTTGAGTCCTTTCCAAACAGGTTCACTGCCTGCAATTAATTTGGAACGAGAATTCTCACTACAATCTGAGGGTGCTGGAGATGGAGCCAAAGAATCAGTCCCAGCATCTCATCAGATTCTGTCAGGAAATATTATTGCAAACGAAGATGAGTTTGATGATGATCAATTTTTTGAGAGTATTGATTTTGACGCCATTGAGGCACAAGCTACCTCACTTTTTAAGAGCAAGTCAGAATCATCAATACAGAAGCAAGAGATGATCTCTCCATCAAACCCCCATAATTTAGCCTCTCCATCGTTTGATCTTGGGATGTGGTAGTTTAGAAAGAAAATTTATTTATAACCCTTGAGCAAGTAAGTTTATTTGTCAGGGGTGTAATGCAATGCTAGAAGCTTTGGCATGCACAGTTTTGTGAATGATCTATTGTATGGTAATTTGTAAAGTCCACTTGTATATATATGGATATTGGATTCTTTGTAAATGTCCCAATAATAATTTAAGCCTGAAGGTCACATACGTAGATTTCATCATTTGCAGCTCAAGATTTTCTCTGGTAAAGCCTTTTGTTTCTCATCATTTTAGTTGTACAACTTTATTCTTTAGAGATTTTTCAGAGAAATAGATCTGCAGATTTTCTTGTTCTCGTGGACATCCTTTTGACATTTTAGTCACAATCAATACTGATGTTTGAGTTTGATGCTGTGTGATCATTAAACGATCACTCTTATCACACTGAAATCTCTGGAGCATGTAATCTTTTACATGTCAGGCATTCTTACTGATACACAAAGTGAAACATAAAGCAGCCATTAAACACAAATCATTCTGTTTCGGTACATTAAAGGAATTACGCCAACAGATAAAGCCACTTACAGGGAAGATCATCCAAACATTCAGCAAATGTCATCATCCATCTCTACATCCCTAAAGGTTAATGGTTAAAAGCAGAATTTTACAGGAGATGTGCCCCAGCAAAGACACGTCAAAAAAACAAAAAAAAAGAACAAGATATGAACTTGATTGAAACGGATTTTTTTTGGAAAGATTCAGCAACACCAACTAGCCTGACAAGTATGACATGGCTCGTCTGAAATCTAAAGAATTTAAGGCTGACTCGGGGAAATGCGTTGCATCTGGTGTCCACAACCCGCCTTGAAGGGGAAGTAAAACCTGACGTTGACTGCTTGCTGGACTTTCAGCAGCAGATGTGGATGAGACCTCCTTCTCTTTCTTCACAAACTCAAAGAACTCTGCAACTTGCCGTGCATACCTTCAAGATAGTCAATTGTCAAACAAATTAAATCTAAATACACAGGTGGAAGTTAAATGGCAAAATCACCAGATATTCCATGGCTAAACAATATAACATAGAATTGCAGTATACACATGCTAATGCCATTTGTGATACACCTACAAACATTTCTCATCTCATCAGATGCAGCATAGATGCACCAAAAGAAAAGAAATTCTCAGAAACGAATAAAGAAAACACTTAAATGGAAAACCATCACATCAAATATCACTCTTCATTGCTCTGCATGAGAAACCCATTGAAGCTTGAAAAAAATGAAAGAAAAAAGAAAAGCATAAACGCAAATAACCACATCTGACATGGTCACATATTAGTAACTGTCACATTTGATTCTCATCAATACAGCAATTCAAGTAGTGATGGATGTTCATTTCAGTTTGTTCAAAATGAAAAAGTAGAGGATTGTGTTTACTGAAAAAGTAGATGGATTCAAAAGAATAGAAGGGAAAGTTATCTTACTGTCTCTTTGCTTCAATATCTCTGCTGAAATCAACATTTGGTTCACAGTCCAGAACCAAAGCAGGAACCTGCTCATAACAAAAGAAATTAAGCCTCTGTCTTGAGGACATACTAACCTCAATTTCTCAGAAACAACGATGTCAACACCATACCTTTTGAATGCTAGAATGCATGTGATTGCCCTCTAGGAAGAAGACTCGGTCTCTGATATCAGGATGTAGAGAACCGTCCATCGGGAGGGGTAGTTTTTGAACAGACAACACTCCATGATTTCCACTTTGGAAGGGGAAAAGCCAACTCTCATGCTTCTCATGCAAATCACGGAGATAGTCTAGTGTAACTCCACCCTCTTCTGCTCTCTTCCGCAGCATCATTCTCTTGTGGCAAGTATCAGGACTTGCTCTCAGATAGATAAAACCATCAGGAATAAGCCCAGGCAAGCATGATACCACTGGATCAAACCATGAGTCATAAATGCTAATTTCCATCTCATTCATCCAATTTGCTTCATGAACAGCTCGTACAAAAACCTTAAGTAAAAATGAGAGAATTCATCAGCCTCAAAACTCTTAGATCAAAGGTTTCTTCCTCTTAAATGGGACAAACCAAAGGAGAAAGGAAACTGCAATGGTCATCACAAACTTGAAAAATATAAATAAAACTTTTAAGAATCTTTTAAAGTTTGATTTTATTTACAGAGTTAATCATCCTAAAGCATCTTAAATATTGAAATTTAATTAAAAAAATTAATAATCATGTGAAAATTATTAATCACAAACTTTAAAAGGGGCTGATAATCCATACAATGCTTACCATCCTGTCAGTGAATACACTCCTTTCCATCAACCTGAGGGGCTTTATTCCACCGGATGACTCTCTCTCCTGCATAACCCTGGTTACAAAAACATAATTCTGAAAGGTATAAGCATACCTTTCTGGCTCTGCATAAAATGCATCCAATATGTTGAAATGGTCAGGTCCAATATCCTGCCACTTTTTAATAGGTTCAGGAACAATCTCAACAAGGTCACGTAGCTCAAGTGTTTCATTAGCTACTCTCTGCAGGAATGTTGTCTTCCCAACACTAATATTTCCCTCAACACAGAAAGTGAGTCTTTTTTTTGAGGTTGGTTTTAAATCTGAATTTGAATCTTTCAGCTCTTCATCGACACTCTCTTTGATGAAGGTAGTTATACTCTCAGCATGGTTTCGGTGGATAATTCCAACAGAACTCTTTAAATACTCAACCATCCTCTGACTAGCTTTCCCAAAGAACTGCAGAAGAACAGCCCCAATCAGCACACAAATTCCACAGAGCCATTCAATGAGCTATATGAATATGTTTTCCTCCATGCACAATGGGCAAAAAGCTTAGACAATTTGCAAAGTAATTTCCCTGAAAACTTAGATCTTTATATATCTAGGGATTGAGAAAGGCCATTGAGATCAACTTTGATCTAGTCAAGTAAAACTTGAGAACATTTTGAATATGCAATAAAGAAATCCAAAGTCATCTAAATAACATGGTACTGAAGATGGAGGCAGGGTCTACACGTTGGCTTATGCCAAGTACTCTGAACCTAAATATATCATACATGCACAGGAAGGAACACAGTTTAAGAAAAAAAGAATATGTCACAAAAAAACAAACGACACACAAAACTCTGCAAAGATTTGCAAAACCATTTCAACTTTCCTGATTCTCAACCCAAGGTATATAAGCAATACAACCAACAGGCAACAATAATGGCTCAAAGTAACAAACATCTCCAACCATAACCACTAAAGAGTTAAGAAATCATTAGAGTAAATGCAGAACCTAACACCCATTTCTATTTTCACACTAGAAAGTACAAAAAAAGCCAAGAAATAATCCAATTAAATCCTTCAACAAGAAAATTAAATGAAACTAAAACCAAAAAAATTTACGAGAAAGAAATAATAACAACCTTATCCTTGTATAATTGCTTAAGTTCGGCAACACCCTGAATCCCATTCTCCACCAGCTTCCTCAAATTCCTAGGTCCTACACCCGGAATCGTCAACAAGTCAGGATTCCCCACTAAACCATTGGAACCTTTATGCCTCCTGTTCAACCTCATCGGCTTATCTTCCTCTCCCTTTTCGCCTTTCTCCGTCGGGATGGAAGAATCTTTTCCGGAAACCTTCAAACCCTCCACAGCAGCAACCAGCCCATCCACCCTGCCCGTGTGGCACCAGGCTGGGCGTACACCCACAAGGCCCGTCCAGGCCCAAGAAGGGGTGCCAGTATCCCTAGAACATCTACAACCACCGCAAGTGGGGGTACCATAACGCGCAGTAACAGAGGGTTTTCCAGGTAATTTGACAGCGAAGGCTGAGCGACTGCCGGGGAAAGCTGCGGTGCGCATTGTTAGACGGGTCTTAATGCTGTTGAAGCCGGCAAGAGAGAGAAAAGAGAAAGATGGTTTAGCAGCAGCAGCAGCAGTAGTGCAGAGGATACGGCCGGAAGGGCTTCGCCGTAAAAGCTTCTGCATCCCTGACTCGCATTGCTCTGACCCTTTTCCGGCTAATTTCTGTGTAGACGAACAAATCCCTCTTTCAGATATTTGGTGAGCTCTGGGGAATTGCAAGGACAGACGATAGAGGAGACAACAAAGAGGCGGGAAGAGCAGACCCAGAGGTCGTTTCACAGGGGACAACACGTTGGAAAAGGGTATGAAATAGAAATTAGGGTTTTACTAGTTTTTTTTTTTTTTTTTTTTTAATTAAAAAATTATTTTTTTCTTTTTTCTTTTTTATTTTCAATAGTTTTTTTTTACTTCATTTATTAATGTTGAAAATATATAAAATATTAATTAGAAAGATAAAACTAATTAATCAAGTAAAGCATTCCACGACCATAATTCATTGGTCACTTACTGTCTCATAGCACAGTCCGTGATTTGCACTCTCATATTTCAAGTTTAATACTCCTCACTAACATCTCTAACATACTAATTTTTAATTATTATACTTATAAAAAAAAAAAAAAAACATAGGTTCAGGTAAAATTAAAATAAAATTGTAAAATTGTGGACAACCGACTGATCTCGCAATTCATCCACTACAATTTTTTGCATAATAATGCAAGCCATCCTATTATTCATATACATGATAGTTATTATACGAATAATAGTGCGTAATTCATGTGGTACCCATGTCGTCACAATATGGGTGTTTCACTCATGCTATTAAAATTCAAATCCTCTTATTTTCTTTACCCTTCTTGTTCCTCCAATTCCTTTAGTACAAAAAAAATTCTTAGAAAATTATCTTAAAACACATTGGTATTTACAATCAAATATCTCTAAATTAGTTTTTATATATCTCAAAATTAATCCTTCAACAAGTGATTTTCTTAAAAATACACCCTCTATATCAATCTACTATTATACATAATGGATGTAACTTTTCAAGTTAAAAAAGAAGAAGTTAAATATCAATTTTGGTCCCTTAATTTTAAGATTTTACATAATTTTCATTTTTCAACTTTTTTGTGCATTTTTTTTGTTCCTCAACTATGAAAAAATACATTTTTTTTGTCATTCTCTTAGTTAGTTTATTAAGTTTATCTAAATATGCATATTTTTAGTATTTTTAGTCCTTTAATTTATAGTTGAGGGAGAAAAAAATATGCATTTATTAGAAGTTAAAAAACTAAAAATGTGCATATTTAGATAAATTTAATTGATTAATTGATAAAAAGTTTTAAAAGTATATTTTTCATAATTAAGGAATAAAAAATATAAAAAAATTAAAAAATAAAAATTATATAAAATCTTAAAGTTAATATATCAAAATTAACGTTTAACTAAAAAAATCAGTTTAGTTATGTATTTGTGTCGGTCCACAAATAGGCTGGATTTTAGCCCAAATCCAATTGGAAAGTTTGAGTAAAGGAACAAATCCAATTATCGACGAGTATGATGCTCGTTCGAATCCTCTATCTAAAAAATTTGTACTTTATCAGGAAAAGGCTATGCTAGTGTGCTACAGCCTAAAGCCCATGAATAAATGGTGGCAGCAGTCTCCTAACTCTTAGGCTTAGTGTGTTTCGTGTTGAATTGTTGGGCCAAAATGGGTTGGTTTTCTTTTCTGTTCTTTACACAGAAAAAATGGGTTGGGTTTGGTGAATAGAAGCAGAGTTAGGTTTCCCTTTTCTTTTCTTTTCATTTTTTCTTCACTCTCCTATCCTATCCTTTTAGGTTGATGACAAAAAACCCATAGTACTAGGACCGGAACCAAGTGATAAGGCACCTCCTCCTGTCCATTGGATAGAGGATGGTTACCTGGGTTTGAGTCTGGATGTCAACCTCCCTTGTTTCATTTGATTAAAATTTAATTTAAAATTTAAAATTTTATTTTATTAAGTATTAATTTATAAATTTAAAGTAAAATTATAAATTATAAATTAAACTTTTAATTTTAAAAGTCAAGAGCTATTATAGAGTAAGGTTATTGTTACGTTTTAAATAATTAATACTACACTCTTTTAGTATAATTGTTTATTATATTTTTATATTACATTTTTTTAAAGTCTATATTTTATATGTTTTAATAAATTAAAAGATGTAATAGTTAATTAAGATAATAAAGTGTAACATTAATAATTAAAAATATAGCAATAACATCACTCACCTTATGATCCCATTTGAAACAGTCAGAGAATCAAGGTCTCCCATCTTGATCATGGCGACTGTAAAGTCAGACTTGAAAATTTCTCAACTCCTACTGTATTTATGAGACTTCTATTTGTGGATCCATCACTGAAAAGGCCCTTGATTGGAAATTCAGAATAGACGAGACATTTCTTTTGTATAGGTCCTTGAATAAGTTGTTGTCCAAAGAATTTATCATGATCAAGTGGTGCCAACTTAGTGTTGCCTTGATTAGTAATGGGAGACAATTGTGTTTGCACATGCTTGCAAATCCTAGTAGTAATAATGTATTATCTATTTATTTTAATTAATTATTTTATTACAAAAAATTTGATTTGATTTTTTTATTTTTTTAAAAAGTAATATAAGTAAATTCATGAATTGTCTTTAAATTTATACTTTGAAGAAAAATTAAAAAAGTAACTTGGGATAGAGGAAGTATTAATACCATATATATTTTTTAATTTTAATTAATTATTATATTTTTTTAATTTATTAAAAAATAAAAAATTTGATTTTTTTATTTTTTTAAAAAGTAATATAA